GGAACAGTTAGTGAAACACCGCCGAAACTCCTGCAAAAAGGGGCTTAAAAATGGGAAAGGGCTTGTGTTTGATAGTGATCTGTGGGAAAATAAAAAGGATATTTCTTTGAAAAGTCGAAAAGTTTTACAGATGTTTGTATGGTGGGGGAGCGGGGGGGGGGGGTGAAAACTTGACCCCACAATACAACCATGTATTGTAGACCAGCTCGATCAGCTCAGTGCACTTCATAATAAAAGTTATTAAGCGAAGCATTTTGAGATCAATGCAGGTATTACAACCGTTACTCATGACAGCTATATAGTCCTGAGGTCTGACTACAGTACTCTTTCACCACTTCAGAGGTAGCATATGGTTCTCAAGTCACGCTACGGAACACCTTTGTTAAGCAATGCTGGCTTCACTCTCATGAGCACACCTATCCCGTCAAGTATCCTGATGGTCGTGGTAGCTCAGCCCAGCAGCAAGTCACATGTTATGGCTTTAAGGATGTCAATAACTGGTGGATTATCAAAGACCCCAAAACGTAAGGCTCTATGATTGGCCGTTTCCTCTTAACCCCTTCACTGCCAGAGTACTTGATGGAGTTTTGTAAGGCGACTCTAACTTTCGAGTCTGCAGACGAAATCCTCTGCTGTGACCATTCAAATGAAAGCTCTCTGCCTGTACTTTCACATGATGCTATTTGTTTGTCAAAATTTAAAAAAAAAGAAATGTGGAAATTTGGTCGAAATTTGCCTTCGGCCACATTTGGCCGTGAAAGGATTAAAGAGCACTATCAGAGTTGTCAGCTTGGTTGTTTTCTCAGTCCTTTTGCCACGTGGATGTGCATTAAGATTTAACTTGTGGATTGGCCCTCAAGAACTACTCTTTGTTAGGATTTCACCGTACACTAGGATGTTTTTTGTGTTAATGGATGTATAATTTTAGAAAACTTGTGTAATATAGTTACAGCTTAATAGCTGATTTGACATTTTAGTGAGATCCCATTGTCTGGCAGTTTTGTTGCCAATATAATATTATTTTGGTGGACTTTCCAAATGTATA